CATCAGCTCCGTTATGCTTCCTCAAACATTCTCAATATTTCTCTCATCGCCTTCTGCTAACTAGTCATTCAATAATGATACTTGATGCTTAATGTTACTCTACAATGAGGCAAGCAGAAAAGTGTCGACAGCTTAAAAATTCGCATTGTTTTAAGTTTTGGTTTTGTTTATATCTGTCAGGCTCAAGCTCGTTCATATGTCTGGTCAAGATCCATATAGTTACCCATTTAACGATGTACGATACACTTCCAACACGAGTGTCCACACTTTTCAGGGAAATCTTATGCTATGTTCACAATTCCGGTATTTATTTGATCTATAGATGCGGTATTCGATCATAGCAATATAATTAGCTAATGTAAGACATTCGTGGATCGCACGTTCAATCCTTCAGCCGCTCAACAATTTGCCGGAATCTTTCATTTCTAGGAATTTTTCTCTTGTGTGGTAGAATTAAGTGAACAAACTCGATAATCCAATACCGAGTATGCATTCCTCGTCTGTGCATTGTGAGATTTCATTGGATTGCTGAGTTGATGACGCTGAATATACGCTCAGTTTGTTGCTTTCATCGAGCTTTGAAGCATCTTCCAATTGATCACTTACGTTCTTATTACCATAGAATATTTCCCTGAAAAATTCATGTGCGGTGGTGCTTTCATGTATCCACAGTATGATAGTTAACTTTCATCCGAGTAATTAGGTGCTGATTAAGGGAATAATGGATTAAAATGCTGAGAAAATTAAGGGGGAATTAGAAAATTAAAATTTCATTCATGAAAGTGGAGTAATCAATTACAGAAATGCTTACTGCATGGATTTTCAACATGTTCAATGCTGTCTGTCAATTTAGTCCGTAAAATTTTTCAGAATTACGGATATAAGTGGAAAAAGAGTTTACGTGAGAACTTCATGGAATAAGAAGTGTGATACGGACCTAATTTCACCGCTCATAACAGTTTCTTCGATTAAAATATATCGAATCCATGTCCACAGATTTGCTGCGACCAAATGCATCGTACCGAATCGAGACACTATATGAGATCCCCTTATTGTCACCTTAACTGAGGCTAACCATCAGCAATCATCGCATCAACTTTAACATCTCCAGCAATGATCACTCATCGTTAGTCATCTTCACAAGTTCAAACTTCGCAGCTCTTTCAGTTGAAGTCAACTTTCATTCGATCGATTCGTCTAGAGAATCGACGACATACCGAAACAAATTTGCTTCCAGAAAATGTAATCTTGCATAACAATGCTCATTCAGAACTTGAAAGCAAAGTGAATATCGCTCCCATCACTTTTTCAACCATATCGTTTCTGAGTGAAACTCAAGTCAAATGAAACAATACTGCATNTTAAAATGAACTGACTCTCCAATTACAGAATATGAAATGCATCTGTGCAAATATGAAGACAATAGCAGCAAGATCAAGTACGCCATTCAACGTTCCACAATCAGGATCGCCAAAACACAAAAATGCGCTGAACGAATAATAGACAATGCCGATAACGCCGAAGACTGCAAAATCAGCTTTCTCATTAGAAACTTTGAAATCATTCCCAAACTTTCAATTTTCTCAACAATTCTCGAAAATGAAGGCTTCCGAATAAATAGATGGAATCCTCGAGATTTTTTGTGTGATCGAAATGTAAATTTACATCATTCAGTCTTTGCTGCATCCAAATAAGTCCAACACTGAGAATTTAAAATTGAATTCGCTGCTAGCAATAATTCGCTGCTAGAAAATGAGCAATTTGCTAACTTCACACTCTTCTTTAATAATTCCAAACAAAATCGATGTAAAACGAAACAATCGTGATGTAGGTAGATGTAATTGAAAATGACGAACTCAAAAAGCCGAGACGCAAGAAAAGATTTCCAGAGCTGGGTCCGTCGTGTGTGACACGACACTGATCTGGTGGTGTGGACGCATCCACATGGTTAAGTGAAACCCCGTTGTTTGAACGCAACCCACTGATTTTTATCATCGATGCAGCTTTTCGTATTGCTTGCCTTAATATCAAATCGACATTCCCTTATGATCTTAACATTTCATAAACATTTATATCACTGAATTGATTCTTGAGAATTTTGTGTTTTGAGTCAATTGGAAGGTTGCATTAGACATCTTTTGATTCATTCTGATGAATCAGTCAACTACTGAAAAGGTAGTCCATAATAGGGAAATTCTTGCGGATTATCGTTTCATCAACTGACTGTTATCGCATTCGATGATTTCATAGATTTTAAGTGTGAATTGAAAAATTGTCGGTCCCTGATATGTCAGGAAGTTCGATGCAATTGAACGAATGCTCACCATCCTGGACTGACCAAAAGAACTGCGTAACAATAAACAAAGAAAGCAATTCCTACACCGTACATATACGCTCCAAATACCTGAAANAAAAAGCACTTTTCACGACAAGTGCCATTATCATATCCATTACTTACTTCACATTTTCAATCTAAACGAATTCTCCTCACTAAATGATGATACAGTCAATATTTTGATCTTTCACTAACATTCAGTGAAACTTGTTATAACTAGGAAACACTTTTTGAGTGTAACTCAACCACTTTTAAGAGTTTCGTTCACGTTTAATGGTTTCTTTTTGTTTGTTCGATACTTTTATGTGGGAATTCATTGAAATGAAAAAAAAAAGCGAAACGGCCGCTTACAAGGTCTTGAAAATGAAGAACTCGCTTATGCTCATTTGAAAGAAGATGTGTTAGTTCGAGAACCAAGCCAAAAATCGTCATTATGATACAATAAAATGCTGTTAGTGCGAGTAAAAGAGTGATTCTGCAATGTGGGATAAATATCAAGTTTAATTCAATTAGCGATCGTTTTAGCAGAAAAAAATCTGATCTCTTAATTCGAGTTTCATTTCTTGATAGGACTGAAGATATTGAGATTGCTTCAGAATGAATAATACTGATCAATTCTTTTCATTTCCCTTCTTGTATGTTTTCAACTGAATAGACAGAAAGTGGAACACTGCGATAGTTCCAATGTATTTTCCTCATCTAAATCGAAGGAACAGATGAGAACGTAGGCGATATCGTTTACCAAACAGTGG